GTCTTGATCTTCAGCATTTGAATAACAAAAAAATTTTTTCTCACAGTTTTTGACCATAAGTTTTATTTTAAAATGTTTAAAAATGTTTTAAAATGTTTTCCAATCACTTCCAGATTCTTTTTATGTTTCTTTTTTTAATAGAGTCATTTTCAAATCACAAATACAAGTATTTATTTACATATTTATATATTTATTATTACTAACATATTTTTACTTTTTCTTTAACAGACTAACTATGCTATTTCTCAACAAATGAAATTATATAATTCAACTAACCAATCCAAAAGGTTTTCAGAGAGACTACATTTTGCCTTTTTATTAAAGATTTTTTATAACACAAAATAACAACTATTTAAAAAGGAAAAATAAGAAATAAAATTAAAAAAAAAAAAACTTTAAGCAACCACCTTTCTTTATCAATGATAAGTAGACCAGTAAGCATAGCCACAAACAAAACATAAATAAACAAGCTGATTAAGTGAATCCAGCGACCCAGACGTGACCACTTATAATTAATTAATTGAACCGTAAGTGGATGAGAAAGTAAGTTTTCTTGATTGAATGTGATCATGCAAGAAGGTCCAAAATAAATTCTTTTTGATGAATTTTCAGGATGAGAATCAAGGTATTTAAAGTCATATCTTATGTAGTATTCTTCAGAATTTTCATCAAGTTTAGAGTATTCTATGCACTTGTCTAGAACAATTTGAGCAATTTCAGGAGCATATGATATCAATTTTTCCATTGGACTGCATCCTTCATTATCAATATGGTTAAGTACCTCTTTCCATCTAAATATATATAAACAACATGAACACTAAATATAAATAACATGAACATTATTACAATTATCAGTGAAAAAAAATTTTAATGAATAGGTAATATGTTAACTTTTATAACCAACTATTCACTATAATTATACAATTCATATAAAAACTTTGGAATTTTATCTTTTTCTTTGAGCCCAGCACAAGAATAGAAGCCCATCTGCGGCACTCACCACAGAAAATCTAGCTTTAAAAATCAAGCTCCTCAAAATAAAGGTATGGTGTGTTTTATTATTGGATTTTCTGAATTGAACCTGTTTGGTATTTTTTGGGCTTAAGGTTGTTTTTTTTTCCTCCAGTAAAGCATTTTGTATAAGATGAGGAAGTAATATTTACTGTTTTTACTGATAAAAGAGACTTAAAAACTTGTATTTACTATGTAACAATAATGCTTAAAATTATATCCAATAATCCAAAAAAGTGAGTTATAGCTCAAAATGGCGTTATTTTATATTGAGTTGAACTCAATATAAAATGAACTCAAACACTAGCAATAAAAGGGGTTTTGTTGAAAAACCCCTATTTACCCTTATATCTTGTTTTATCTCAGTTTTTTCTATTCAAAGAGATAATGACCAGTAAAAAAATTAACCAACTGTATTAATTAGTGTAATAACATATTGAAATTTTTTTATTATGTGGCATACGCTAAAAAGTCTTTTCAAATAATTGATTTTATTTACTTATATATAAAGATATATTCTAATCAAATTTGTTGCACTTTTGATAAACTATTATTTTATGTTATCAGCTAAAGTGTCTTCAAATAAATAATTTTATTTCTAAAATTCTGGCACAACTAAGACAAAAACGTGACAATGCAAAAAAATAAGCAGATCCAGGACAACAAAAAATGCTAGCAACTTAAAAGTAACATAAGCATACCTTAATTTTTTTTTTTGTTAATTCACCTTTGAGAAGGCCACTACCGCGCTCAACTTGTTGAGCGCGGTACTACCAGGGACGTGGTGGGGATTGAACTGGAACCTCTCGCTTATGAAGCAGCCACTCTACCACTACACCACTACCACATTTACCAATTGTTGATAAAACAATTAGTAAAACAGATGTAGTAGTACTTGGATCACCTGGATCAGCTGGTATATCAAAAGAGGTATCAAGAGGCATCAGCTGGTATACCAAAAGAGGTATAAGATATTAAAAATAAGAAAAGATGCTGATGATGATGATGATGATGATGATGATCATGATCATGATCATGATGATCATGATTATGATCATGATCATGATCATGATGATGGTCATGATAATGATCATGATGATCATGATGATCATTATGATGGTGATGATGATGTCTCAAAGATTTACTTCTTTAAAACCAATAGCAAACAAGCTATTTGTTATATAGTTAGTAATCAAATAATATTGCAGAACAAAACATTGGCTAGTTTTTTCATCCACCATCAACCCTTATTATCACCAAATCAACACATTTTTTTCAAATCTATCTTGGTCAAAATGGTACAAAATTTAAATCTAACTCTAAAGACAACAATGCATGCAACAATCTTTTTTACCAAACTATTTATTTACCAAAATATCTTTTATACTAAAACTTTTTTTTACCAAACTATATTATGAATTTTTTATATAAAAGGAATGATAAGTATTTTTTTAATTTTACAAGATTAAAACATGTCATTAAAAAAAAAAGGTCATACAACTTTTAGAGGCAATTTAGACCTTACTTAAAGTATAATTAATGTACTTATACCAATGCCTTATATGTCATTATATGGAATTTTCTCTACAGATTTTGAGAAGCTCTTCTTCCTGCTAACTTTAGAAACATTAAACTATATTTTTAAGCTGTATATTTATTACAAAATTAAACAAAAAAAATTATTAGCACTACCAAAAAGTCACAAACAAAAACTAAACAAAAACTAAATTAAAAAATACAAATATTCATGATCTAACTTTTACCATTCTAGTTTGAAACAAGATAACACAAGTTTACACTTTTTAAACAAAAACTTGGAGATGCAAAGTAGGTCAACAGAATGTTTCTACTTACCCATAAAATCTCAGACTAGAAGACCTTCTAGAAGACAGTAGTGTCAATCTCCCACTACTGTCTTCTAGAACCCAAGTTCTAGAAAACAGTAGTGTCTTTTTTTGCTAAGACCTCCACTGTTACTAGTCTTTACTCAACTAAGGCCTCCAAGGTAGGTAGGTCTAGTAGGTAGGGAATTATATCAAGTCAGAACTATTTCTTTTAGCCTTAGCCTAAAACGTTAGTACTACAGAGCAGAAGGACATGTGACAAGTTGCTTTGGGTTATGTGTTAACAAGGTGATCATAATAATCTTGATCCTGATCTAAGGAAATTGAAAGTTATTTGCCAGTTGCTGAATTGCAAAATTATTTGCTGGTGGCAATATTAAAAGTTGTCCAAAAAATTGCAAAATTATCATAGATATTTTTTTCAAAGAAAGCAGTATTTAAATTTGAATATATTATTTTCAATAAATTAAATTTCATGTTATTTTTGTAACATGATTTATTGGTGATTCCTACTTGTATACTTGTTCATTGTTTATTTTGTTCGCAGTTCAATTATATGTTAATGACTTTATTAAAAAAATAACAAACAAAATGGGTTGGAAGGATAAACAACTTATGATAACAAGGTGTTTATTTTTTCACTCAATTATGGCAGCAAAATGATACTCAGCAAATTATTATAAATAAACAACTTTTACCTTGTAACTTAATACAGGTGAGCTTGTTTAAAGTATAAAATGATAGGAGGTATAACATAAAGAAAAACATTATTGCTTTAGTGTTATCATAATTTATGGAGTGGTGGTAATAAACTTCTCAGAATCGCATTTATTGTTACCGGCATTTTAAAATGCCGGTAACAATAAAATTCAAACCTTTTATGTGTGATAAATATCCTGCAAGCTTCTGTATGATGATTTTCTAAAGCTAGATCAAGACAATTTTTTCCATCTGCATTCTGAAATGATATGTTTGCACCATGATTCAATAAAATGTTTATACACTTAACATGTCCATTAATAGAAGCATGGTGAAGAGGGGTTAGTCTGTTTGGATCATATTCGTTTACACAAGCGCCATTTTTAATAAGAGCTATCACAATTTTTGTATGTCCATTTCTTGCAGCATAGTCAAGTGGTGTCCAGTTTGAATCATCTCGTCCTGAAATTTGAGCACCCATTTCAATTAGAACCAAACTAGTATCTCTAAATAAAAATGTGATGTACTAAATGAATATATATTATATATTTATTTTAACAGATATACTTAGATATTATATATACTTTAATTTAAGACTTAGTGTATAGCAAGAAAAACAAAATAATGAAAATATTCAAGATTTTCTGATATATTTCAACACATAATGTTCCAATGTATTATGTTTCAATGCATTTTGTTTTCATCAGTTGTGTTCTAATGCATTATGTTCTAATGAGTTGTAACCTAAAGCTAAGTTTCAATCATGAAAAGATTTTTTATACGCATTTAGAGAATTTTTTCTATTTAAACACTTTGCATTAAATATTAGCTTAATTGATCCACGCAAAAGAAATTATAATAAATATATTTACGTCCAGCCATTTTTTGCAGCTAAATGCAAAGGTGACTGTCCTTTCTCATCAGTACAATTTATATTTCTTGTTGAGTTTTTGACTAATTTTAGCAAACAATCAACCTTTCCATACTCAGCTGCAATATGCAATGGAGTTTTTTCTTCATTATCAGTAACTTCAGTATCAGCTGATTCCTGAATAAGTATTTTGACTGACTAAAAGAAAAAAACAATTCAATTAGGTTAATCAAAAAATTTTAAACTAAATGTAAACACTTTCCTAAAATGAGAAAAAATTAAATAAAGGAAAAAAATATTAACCAAAGATTTGATGCAGAACTACTATTATATAATTATGTAGAAACATAACTAATAAAATCTAAGAAAAAGTGATATGAGATGATACATAAGTGTACATCTAAGCAAACTTAAAATATATAAGCTATAAGTTCTTATAAGGCCAATAAAATATATGAGCTATATGTATTAACAAATCAAAAGATAATATAGATGATGTAGATAGTATAGACTAAAAGAAAAAAACTGAGTTTAAGAACAGCAATTGTTTTTAAAAATTTTTCTCTTTCTTTCAATGAGTTCTGAGATTAGAAATAAAAATTTAAAATTTTGTGATTAAACATTTGAGAAAATTAGATTTTTATATTCACACTCAATTTTTTGTGAGAGCTTCACTTTCTGATCTAATGCTATTGCATCTCTGCTATTGCATCTCTGCTATTGCATCTCTGCTATTGCATCTCTGCTATTGCATCTCTGCTATTGCATCTCTGCTATTGCATCTCTGCTATTGCATCTCTGCTATTGCATCTCTGCTATTGCATCTCTGCTATTGCATCTCTGCTATTGCATCTCTGCTATTGCATCTCTGCTATTGCATCTATGCTATTGCATCTCTGCTATTGCATCTCTGCTATTGCATCTCTGCTATTGCATCTCTGCTATTGCATCTCTGAATGATTTAAAAGAGTAATAGTAATAAGAAATCTGTAAAACCAGTAAAAACTAGAAACATACATGTAACAAGAATTTACTAAGTAGTAAAAGTTAGATTGTAGGCAAAATCTCTATTTTCTCCAGAATGTTTTCTTATTTTTTTACATAAGTTCACCTTAATATCTGTTTGTTTTATATCATTTCATATTACTTTACCATTTACTATTGATCTTTAGGATTAATACAGTTTTTTTTTTTTTTTTTTTTTTTTTTAACATCTTCACTTTCAACAAGGCTGCAAGCAACCACTATAAGAGTTGGAAGTTACTGGAAGAGAAAAGACTAAATCTGTAGAGCAAGATAACGATTGACAGATGACTTAAATGATTGCAAATTATATGAATCAGGGAAGCAAGATGAAGGAAGCGAATTCCAAAGAACTGATGTTCGAGGAAAAAAACTAGAAGAATAAGAGTTTTTGAAGCACTTAGGAACAGTCACAGAAAAAGGATGAGACTTAATTGAGTGACGAGTGACACGAGAATGAATTTTAGTAGATGGCACAAGAGACGCTAGCTCTTTAGAGCAGTGCCCATTATAGTATTTGTAGAAAAGAGAAAGAGAAGCAACATCACGACGATGTGACAAAGGTTGGAGATTGGCTGCCAGAGCAGGTCCAACTATGTTTACAATGCGTTTTTGCACCTTGTCTAAAAGAGAAAGGGCATCATTAGAAGATCCGCCCCAGATGTGGCAACAGTATTCCATACAGGGACGGATTTGAGATTTATAGAGATAGAGAATAGAATCTGGAGTAAGAAAGTGTCGAGCTCGATAAAAAGATGCAACCTTAGCAGATGCTAATTTTGCAATGGATTTGATATACGGTTTAAAAGAAAGATCAGAAGTAAGAGTTAATCCTAGAAGATGAATGGTAGATGACTCATCTAGTACATTACCATTCATAAATATAGGAAGATCTAAATTATTACGATAACGATTGGCCGAATAAAATTGAGTTTTATCTGAATTAAAGTTCACCAGCCACTGTGAGCCCCATGATGTAGCAGAAGTGAGATCCTTTTCAAGCTCAGATACCCCCTCCAGGCAATCAGAGAGTGTAGGCTTCTTGTCATGACAAGAGTAAATGGTAGTGTCGTCAGCGAATAATGCCACCTTAGATGTGAGAATATCTGGGAGATCGTTAATGTAAATTAAAAAGAGTATAGGGCCAAGGATTGAACCTTGAGGAACCCCTGAAGTTACAGGATATGAAGAAGAGTGTTGTCCATCGAGGACAACTTTTATACTACAATTGGAAAGAAAGGACTCAATAATCTTAAAGATGTTACCAGATACACCATAAGAAGAAAGCTTATGGAGAAGACCAGCATGCCAAACTTTATCAAAAGCTTTAGAAATGTCAAGTGCGATAGCCTTAACCTCTCCACCTCTATCTAATGCACGGTAAAACCTATCGGTTATTACTGTTAGCAAATCAGCTGTAGAACAAGAAGATCGAAATCCATATTGATGATCAGAAAGTAAGTTATTTGATTCAAGATGAGAGATTAAGTGTTTGTTGATTAAAGATTCAAAAACCTTGCTTATGACAGGAAGAAGACTAATGGGACGGTAGTTAGATGAATCAGATCGCTCTCCGGAATTTTGAAAATAGGGATAACAGATGCTGCTTTCCAGCATGATGGAAAACAGGACTCTGATAAGCACTTGTTAAATAGTTTTGAATGTATGGATGAAAGCTCCGGAGAACACTTCTGCAAGACTACAAGTTGATCAATTACTTGAATGAATCTATTTTAACTAAGTAGAAAGCACTGCTACTTCATACTTATGATATCAATCTTAGCCTTAGATTTGATTATCTGTAGTTTTTGTTATTGATGATTGACTCTTAAATACTAAAGTTTAGCTCCTTGATACTGTTTTACACTTCCCCCTGCGCGTTCTTTATAATTTTTGTCATCTCTTGTTTTTGTTTTTTTTGTTTGTTTCTTCAAGTTAACATAGCTTTTACTACTTTTCATTTTTTCCCTAAACTGCTTTTCTTAATTTGTTCCCATTGTACAGGGCATTTCACCTGAATGCACCAAGCTATTACTGAAGTAGATTTGTCAGTAATATTGTGCACTTTCATGCAAATATTACAGGAGAATGTCTTCAATTTTCTTTCAGTAAAAAAGATAGTTTTTGATTATAGCCGAGCCATCTCTTTCACAAAAATTTAAATATCCTGAAAATATTTCACAGCTGTTATTCTAAATCATTTTCAAGCATTTGCACTAATAAGTTTGAGCGTACTTTTTTCATGTTTATTTAATAATTTTGCCAGATTTTTGTAAAAAATCTTTGCACTAATCAAAAATTTATTTGGGAACCGCTGGTAATGTTTTGGGAACTGCTGTTGATGTTTTGGAGACTGCAGGTGATGTTTTAACATTCATCGCATTAAAGGTTAATTGTAAAGGAAGGTTTTACTAATTATTAATCAAATTTTTTTAAAGAAAGGTTTTAAAAATATTTTTAATATTCAATTTGAGTCTCATACACTCATAATAACACAAATGTGAAAGAATTTACAAGGATGAGGTCAAATAAATATTATGATCAAAGAGATCTGTTTGTTTTTTTGTTCAAAAAAATCTATAATAGCATTTTCGAAATTTAACGATGATGCACTGGATGGAGAAAAGTGACCCAAAAATATGTAATAAGGTTCTTCTATTGAAGTTATATGTTCTCAGAAATTAAGTCTTCACTGCTAGTCACTAATGAATAAAGAGTTTTACCTTTTTGTAAATCAAAGAAAATTGATATTTGGCCTACTAAATATATAGTTAACTACTAAACATATCACTAACTTTTGTAATAATGTAGTTCAAAGCAATTGTCTTTAGCACTTTAACCTTTTTTGTAACTACATAATCTGAAAGTGTGGCAGTAATAATTGCAGCTCCAGCAGCATCAAATACACCATTTCTGTCACATTCTTTGGCAATTGTTGGAAACTTTTTCATATTTTTGCCAGATTCACAAGCTAATTCACAAAAGTCTGACCATTGATCATCATAGGCATTGTTCTGAGTGTCGTTTATAAACTCCTCCTCACCAGAACTAATTTCTGCATCTATATCAGAAATAATATTAACTGATGCTTCCAGACTGATTTTGCTAGACAAAAAAAATCATAGTATTTCTGTTTTTATGTGCTTCTTTTAAATGCTTTTTTTAATATAGAAGTACTTTCCTTATCTAAAGGACCAATAACCATATTTCTTTCATTTCTTTCATCCATTAAAAGTTCATGCTCGAGTACTGTAAATTTTGATTTTCTCGGGCATGTGCAATTACTTAAATTTAGTCATTGATTTACCTTTTCTTTTAAAAATCATTCTCAAAATATTGTGTAAAAATTTTATTTTCTGGTGTGCTCTTTGCATTGTAACAGTAAATTTACATTTGATGAACAGTCGTTCTTGTAGCAGCCATTATATGCCATAGGTATCAAAATAATAATATTTTTTTAAATATAAATTTACCCCTACAACGAGTGATGCCTAATTTATAGGACAAATTTTAATTTGTCCTAAAAATTTATAAGAATTTTTTCAAAAACATTTCAAATATTTTTTTGTAATATAAAAAAAGTGAATTATAAATCATTTTGAAAGAGAAGAGTAGGAAATATTATAATAACTTAAAAAATCTTGAAGATTCATTTTAGTCATTCATTGACATTTCAGTCATTCATTTTCTGATAAAAAGCATTCTGGTCATCACAGATCTTGGACTAGAGAAAAGAAAACCTAGTTAGAGAGAATTGTCAACAACCAAAAAGGGTTCAGTCAGAGAAAATTGGGTTTTAAATTCAATGTAAATCCATTGAGACTGTAATTCAATGTAAATACAAAAGACTCCACTAAAGAATACACTATTGAATAACAAATAAAAGCAAAGAAAAGAAGCATAAAACTTAATCAGTTCTCAGTCCTAATCATAACAAAATCACTTTTGATCATTGATGAAGAGAATTACTTTGTTTTTGCAGATGATAAAATAAATAGAAAAGCTGGATACTACACAGAAATCAAAGAAACATCCCAAGAAAGCGTTTTCTTTGTCGGAAAAGATACTTTTAAAAAAAACTAATAATGTGGATTGCTGTTTCTAACCGCCTAAGCCATTGTCTAAGCCATGCCTAAGCCATTGTCTAAATAGAATAGAAAATCTAAATAGTTTTT